GTTTAAAAAAAACAAAAACTGTTAGCTGTTGAAGCAAATGGGAGTATTAATCGGATACGCAAAAACCCACCGATGATCAAACTGCACGAATCTCGTAGGGAAAAATGCGTTCGTGTTCCAATAATTCGAACAAGAACGCCCTTGCAGCAATTTTTGTGTGAGAGATTTTACTTGTCACCATTCGGTTCACTCGGCGATTAACCATAGAAGACAAAAGACAAAGCTCTCGGGGTTGAACAGTCCCTGAGGGATGCGCCATTCATTCAACTTCATTAAGCATCGTTTGAAGGTGATTGCATATCTAGAGTTTAGAATGACTCTCGGTGGCCTGCTGATGTATCGAGCCAGTGCTGCTATCGTCGCAGGCAGGACTAGTACCAATTTGCCGAGTCCGGAGGGATGGAAGGCTCGGTGGGCCATGGGCACGGGGATCGATTCCACGTGTGCGCTGCAGAGTGTGTTTGCGACAACTGCGCCACATTGGGTTCAACTATAGAACAGATAATGGAGCTGAATTATACAATACGACGAGGTGAAAACAAAGGCATCAAAATGTCGAGTACAAATGATGTTGAGTCTTTTGTGACGTGTTTCAGTCACAAAAATATTTATTGAACAATGACGCACTACCGTACTACCTACAGACCATTTATGCAAAGAAAGACCGTTTGCAGACTTTGTTCATTTCCATGGAAGGATCGTTAAGCACAAACCGATTCCTGCTCTCAGAATTTTGGTCATTTTTATATATAAATAAAATGTCCCTTTCTCAAGTGAAAGATTTGAAACCCCTTAGTTCCTTGATACACTTGTGGAGTTGTCAGTTGATTTGTTGCCAGTCAATCATGAAACAAAACAGATTAGGTCTTTTTCATGAAACCCAAATGAATTCAGGAAATGGACTCTTCTCACCCACTGTGTCCGACTGACTCAAAGATTTTGTGTACATGCAAACATACCCACGTATATGTGCGGAGGTGTGTATGTGTGGGTGAGATTTGTGTTTTCCACGTCGAATCGAGCAAACAAACTCAATCATCAAGTGACTGAGAAGTATATGCGAGTTCATTTGAAACCGCCCCTACTTCTAAGTTGGGAAAGCCTCAGGAACTAACCAGTAGATATTCACTCACCAAAATGCTCAAAATGTACGGCGTTATACGAAAAGTGCGATATTCTGTATGTTGTCTTAGCAAAAGTAGCCGCCAACTGGCTATTTCTGGTACGGGAGATGAACACATGGAGGCCTCAATGGCTTATTTACCCAAATCCTTTATTTATTGGCGGTATTAGGTGACGCATTCAGGACAGGCATTAGTGAGTGTCCTCAAATTAACAAATGATGATTGGGTCGATCTCATCTCAGCAATTTACCACCTTCTTTTCTGAGGAAGAACGAGTCGGAAAACCTACGAGATACCGGCAGTGGAAGGACGTCGTTAGATCAGGGGCGCTATGATATTTACGTCAGAGAACTTCAGGAAAAAACTAGCTGGTGAGTTTTTATGACTGTCATGCTAGAGCTCAAAAACCATTCATGAAGCAAAAACTCATTATAAAAAGTTATGGCCGACGGGGTTGTATGATCGCAACAATAAACGGCTGAATAGGAATGTAATAAAGCTGAGCAATGAATGAACTTAATTCTCAACAGACCAGTTTCGCCTTATTTTCCCAAAGATTACTCACTGGATGGTTTACATGACCCATGGTGATTGGTTTACTTGTTATGGGCCAATAAAAAAAATCACAGATCAAAGGCCTTATTTCATTCTCTACTACTCCAGAAGGAACGTTAAGCTGTGTAGGCGAATCCAAGTACAGTATAAAAAATTGTTATGAGATTGGAGGATCTTAAAGTAAGGACTAAGGTAAAGGACTGAAATAGGATCATGTAAAGCTTGCGGTTCAATGTCCAAGCAAAAACACGCCACATATCGTAAAGGAGAAGTCAACTGACTATGAGAAAGCCTTAAAAGATCCCAACGAAGACGAGTCACAGTTAATGTCGTCCACATCGGTCAAATGGCTACTGTAGCAACAGTTTTCTCGCCCTGCAGAGCAATCAACAAGTTCAACAACGATGAGTTTTCACGAATCTTACAAGGATTTGATAATCATGACATAAAGCGGAAATTGACTTTATTGTTCCCGGATCGACAGCTATTAGCTCAATTCGAAAACCGTTTTAATGTTGTCAGAGTTCGAGAACTTCTAAAATGTTAAGTTTTTATGTATTTGATGACGTTTCACAAAGGATAAAGGATAATATTCTCGGTGTTAATCAATTCCTGAGGGATGCGCCATTCATTCATCTTCATTAAGCATCGTTAGAAGTGATTGAATGTGTATATGTCCTATATAATGACTCCCTGTGGCCTACCAATGTACCGAGTCCGTTTTGCTACCCTTCCAGAGAAGTTTTGCTCCAATTTGCCACTGCAGGAAGGAATGAACAGTTTGTGAGCCCAGGGTGCAAGATCGAACCTATGAGTATTGCAGGGCGCCTGTAACCACCGCGCTGCACGCACCTCAACGACCGTTTATACGTCGAATATTCAATAGTTGAAGCATGTTCGACGTCACAAAATTTCTGCTCTAAAAAGCAGTAAAACGTTTCGCTCTTAATCAGTAGGTATCATCAGAATTGAGTGGTAAAAGCTTTTAACATTTGGTCGTTGACAACCTCTCTCATTAACCTAATAAATATTTAATTGTCAGCCAAATTTCTGCGCAAAGGAAGTCAGGAAATTCCACCGAAATCAAAAGAGTTAAGAAAGTTTAAAATTAAAGTACCAAATGTGAAATACAATTCATGCTGAGATATTTGGAAAATCAGGTCCACAAGTGTCTGCTGCGATTGTGCGAGGTGCGGTCCGGAGTTTTGCAAGCAGCTCGGCATCATTCTAATTGTATTTCACACCATAGCCTGCCATGAAGTAGAATAGACAGGGAATAAAAAATGAATGTATTCGAGTAGTAGAATCAGTGGAAAATTGTAGATCGTGTAATTATCCCGCATCAAAGGGTTTCTTCCCTTCTAACCTTGAAGACAACAGAAAGATAAAAAGAAGACAAAATTTTAGGATTACGCCGCTTCAGAGAAAAATCTGAATATGGAATGGTCATTTAGAGGACAAAGAGATTCATTTTCGTACAGCAACATAATGGGGTGTGGCGCAATGGTCGGAGGTGAACTGCGATTCACATACGGGATCGATCCTCGCATTCGCAGCTCACCAAGCCTTCCATCCCTTTGAGGTCGGCAAATTGGTACCGGACCTGTCTGGGAAGATAAAAGTACTGGCTCGATTCATCAGTAGGTCACCACGAGTCATTGTAAAGGCCAGATATGCATTGATTCACCTTCGACGATGTCTAATGAAGGCGAATGCATGGCGCATTCCTCACGGATTGATCAATGCCGAGTGCTTTATCCTTTTATCCTTCAAACCGCAACATAATACTTGTGCATTTCCACCTTTCGATAATATCGACGACTTTATTCTTCACTCTTTTTCACAGGTGTTTTACCCAAATGCCAATTTTAACTACGGCTTAACGAAATGGTTGAAATTAGATTTTTCGCTGAAAGAAACAAATAAAAAAAATCACAGTTCCAAGGGCTTAAAAATCAACGAGGAATGAAAAGAAACAGAATGACAAAGACAACGACGGCGATGTCGACGGTGAAGGCAGTACTGATTAAATCAACGCCAGCCTTAAACGGAAGAAAAGGTACGGAAAGGTTACCAACCAAATAAATGGGGATCAAAGGTGGCAGCGATTTAAGTGATAAAGCACCAAATACTGTAAACTATTGTTTCCTTATATAATCCTCATTACAGTAATTCTCGGTACATTATTTGACTACCGTAATTCCTGTGTGAAAGTCATTAAAAAATAATCCTCATTGGTTACAAACTGTGTGAACGACATTTTCCGAACACGACAGAATCATCCAGAGAACTATGCATGAACAAAACGAATTTGTTCAATGGAAGAATTCGGAGCAAATCCAAGTCAGCTTCGTTTTGCTTTCGCAGACACAAAAACAAAATCAGGTTTCTTTTTCTTGCATATGAGGAACCCTCTGGGTTTCCCAGCCATAAAACGTGGAAAAAAATCGTTATAAAAATTTTGTAAGCGGCCACTGGAGAAATGATTCGCTCAAATCAGAGTCTGCAGAAAACGAATGAACGTCGTATTGGGTTTTGCTAGCACTGAGGTTCTCTCTTCCACTCAAACGGGACGTGAAATGTGATGAAGAAAAAAGCCGAAAGTCACTTTATCACAACGACTTGCTATCATCGTTGATCAGGTACTGATGAATAAATGTCAATCAGCTATGTTAAGGAATTCCTCGTTGTCAAATGAGTCGCCAATTTTCTATGCCCATACTTGGTTACTGCATTTGTATACACGGAAAGATAAGTCGATCAGTCGAAATGTAATAAACATGTCATGCACCCGATAAAGATAAACTACAGAACTTTTTAGATACACGGCATAGTTGGTTGGTGAACGATAACGCCATGTCAAGACCTTAACAGTGTATACGAATGCGATATGTATCGATTAGCATGACGTGAGACAGAATGTGGCTTCTGGTTGACTGGCAATCCTCGCTAATTGAATTGAGTAGGATTCAAAAACAAGTTCATTATAACTCTTTTTTGAACACTATGGCTATAATCACAATCATAACCGTTTTATTTACTGTCTACTCTTTTTAATGGCAGGGAATATTGCGAAATATAACTTCAACGATGCTGAGATATTTGCAAAACACCGGACCGCAGGTGTCTGCGGTAGGGAACGAACGCGCTATTGTCCTTTCCGGGGAGTAACGCGTTCACCACCACACCAAGCGGGTCCTTCGTTTCGCCTGTCTTTCAGCTAGTTTTATCTATGGTTATATATTTATAATATTAATGGACACCTGTAGTATTCACTGATTTTTATAGAATAAAGTGTGAAACAGAAGTGTTTAAACTTACAATAAGATCAGCGACAGCGAGCGAGAATATCAGATAGTATTGCGGTCGACTACGTAAGTCACGCTCATAGAAGATAGCAGCAATGACGAAGGCGTTGCCAATAACACAGAAGAGTATTAATAGTAGCAGAATCGCCGCCAATGTCACCGATCCTAAGTATGGCCCAAACAAATAATCGTCGTGTAATAGCGACAAATTGTCGCCAACTGCCGCCGACATCGCCATTCCGTCGTCGAACCACACAGTGACAAGCGCGGACTTGTTGTGTTCGTCGTGCATTGCTGACTTACCTCATCTGGAATTCTGAAGAACGGATTAAGTTTCTGGGCGTCTGGGAGAATGACGAACACCTCTATCGATTCGAACACAAAAAAATGACTGACGATATGAGGCTGCAAGAGCGGTAGACACGTGAAAACATGACATATTTCAAGTAGAGAAAAAAATCCTTACATAGTAAATTAAGTACTGTCATACATTCAGATGAGAAATGCATGAATTTGAAGAAGACGGAGAAAGAGAGAAATGCAGCAATAAAAAGCGAGCATGCGAGAAAGACAGGAAAAGAGAGAAGCGAGAAAAAGAGAATGAAAGGTACGGAGAAAAAAGGCTGATTACAATCAAAGACATGGGTAACCGATAAAGGATAAACCTCTCGGCGTTGATCAATCCCTGAAGGATGTGCCATGCATTCGACTTCACTAAGTGTCGTTAGAGGTGATGGAATGCATATCTGGCCTTTACAATGACTCGCGTTGGCCTACCGATGTATAGAGCTAGTGCTGCTCTCCTCTCAGACAAGTCTGGTACCAACTTGCCGACCTCGGAAAGATGAAAGGATTCATGGGCGATGGGAGTGTGCATCGATTCCACGTATGTGTTTCAGGGCGCCTCCGACCACTTCATCACAAGGATATGGTTATGACAAATAAATATTTCTAAATGTTTATAGGTGCCACATCAATAACTTCACTCAGCAAGACATTAAAACAATAAAGTGTTATCATCAACGGCTGTCTCTTCATAAATAATAGTAGATAAATAAATAAGCACTTTACACTTGGAAAACAGTGTTTAAAAGACTTTTTGCAGTACTTTTACCGTGAAAACTCTCACCAATCACAACATAAAGGGTTTTCATTAGGATTTTGTTAATGGCTTGTTGCTCTCTATAAAAATCTTTGCACTGGGTCCTTTATAATCAAACCAAAAGGAACAATACGTCCTACAGAAGGGCAAGAGACAAAGAAGAAGAAGATAAAGAGAGAAATGCAAAGAGTCGACTAAATTAATGACAACGAGTTATTTTGTAGCTGACGAGAAGCCGACGTTTTTCTTAAGATTTGAGCCTTTAAATTCATGAAGATGAAAAAAATGACTGTACTCATGGCTGTTCTCGAAGACTCTCACTTAACACCACGCCCACTAACGTTGGATTTACGGAAGGCGTCACTTCTTTACTGGAAAATGGAGGAAGGTGTTTCTTACTGGGGAAAAGAGCTTCACGGAGATTTTTTGGTATTAAGCGAACTTCAGCGAGTCGCAGAAACCAACACTAATGCACAACTGGATATTTCACCGAGTTAAACAATTTGGCTCACCATTTCTAAGGAAAATTCGATTTCCCACTGAATTTTCTGTTGACCTGTGACCTCCACTGGGTTTAAAGCACTTTATTCTATGTTATAGAATATAACTGTACAATAGTACGTTAAACAACACGACATATGATGAAGAACAAGTTTTGAGATTTTACGAAATAGCTAATACTAAGTTCTTGGGTTGGGACTGCAATGTTCAGCGAGGGTATTTGTCCCCCCGGCTGGGTCACCCAAGCTGAGAAGGAATTCGATTTTTCCATTAGTAAGCCCAGCTAAGAGTAGACCAGTACCAGGGTCCACCACCGTCCTGGTATGAAACTAGTCACATGATGGCGAATCTCCTTTTGATCCACGAGGTCGGCGACTGCCTGTGGTGGTGGCGACCTAGGGCAGACTTTGGCTTGGCTGACCTCGAGACTCCAAGGAAACACAGTGGTTAAACCAGTAAAACTCGGAAAAAAAGGAAATTATGCTGGGGCTCGCACAACCAGTGAAGACGAGTCTTCGAGGTATCCAAGTAAGTAAATGTTGATTAGACTAAAACATTTTAGCACCCATGCTTTTAATGCTCAGTGGAAAACCATTCAAAGAAAACTGAACACTGAATAAAAGGAAAACTTCTACATTGAAAGAGAGACGAAATTAAGAGAAAATAGCAAAAGTCTTTGACCTTGGAAAGTTTACGTTAGAGAACAAAAAATCGACAAGCGTTGAGAAAAAATCGATAGGGCGACAGAGAACACAATTTTGAGGAAAATATTCTGTGAGTTACTCTAGAATTACCTGCAGTGGTAGAAATTCTCACAGGATTTTGAGATTTCTCGAGGTTTCCGCGAACAGTCTTCTTTGTTTAAAGGGTCGTTTCAGTTTGAATTAAAATATCGACGCCAAATATTTAACTATGTGAGGAGAATGGAGTTTATTTTTTAAACAGTTTATTCATGTATGCTCTAACCAAATTGGACTAAACACAGCTTCCCACTAATCTGAAATATAACGAACTTAAGGCAAACTGATGACGATCTAAACAAAAGGAAAGTTAAATATATATGCAAGAGTCTGTCTGTATACATGCGTCTTTTCCTGTTCCTCTGTGTATGTCTATGAATACATACAAGTGCATACATGCTTAGGTCTGTTTGTATGAGTGCATACTGTGTGTGTTCGTGCACCTGTGGCTATGTGTATGTATTTACGTGTTGCAGTGTCTGTGGCATGTACATATGTGTATATATACATCCATAGCATATGTGTATATATACATCCATATATTAAATTTATGAGGAAATTTATAGCGCAGTGGTCGGAGGCCTCAATACACAAGGGATCGATTCCCGTGCCCCAGGTCCACCGAACCCTCCATCCCTCCGGAGTCGGCAAATTTATACTAATTACTTGTCTGGGAGGATAACAGCACTGGCTGGATACATAGCAGGCCATCGCGAGTCATTGCAAAGATCAGATATGCGTTCAATCACCTCCAACGATACTTAAAAAAGTCGAATCGATAGCGCATCCCACAGGGATAGATCAGCGCCGAGAACTTTATCCTTTAACCTCTACATACAAAAATTTTTATATAGGATGGTTCGCCATGCGTAAATACGAAGTCCATTCACTGATGTATAGCATGACATGAATTCATTGTCATTATGACTAGTGGACGTGTAACGCAGGGGTTAGAGGTGCTCTGCAATACACAAAGGATCGGTCGCTGGTCCGATCCTATGTGTATTACACCCGTGGTCAGCGCATTGGTATCACACTTCTTTAGGAGGATTGTAGCACCGACTTTATACATCGGCTGGTTATCGCAAGTTGTTGTGTACATCAGATATGCATTCAGTCCCTTCTATGATGCTTCGAATAGGGGTAAATGAACGCCACATACCTCATGGATTGATAGATGCTAGATTTATTTTTTATCCTTCATGAAGAAATCTTGGCTATCAGGTGATGGCAAAAAGGGTTATAATTAGTAGGCGCTTGTCTACATCGAACAGCTGTACAAATCATAGAATTGCTATCTATTCTTCGCCGAGGTTATAATCTTATGATATCAACGGCTTACGTCGTCAGTACGACATGCTTAGACTATTCCCGCTTGAAACTACTAGTGGGACGGTCGCGATTGCTGGTTTAAGCTGACAAGAGAAGATGTCCACTGCAAGAATGACAAAAAGAGGTTAAGACTGAGAAAGGGAATGGAGATCGACGAAATAAAGGGAGAAAAGAGCGCACTAACCATCTACATGATTCGTTATTTTCATCAGGAAAACGAACATAGAACTTGTGGATAAATCATTTTGAACATGAAAACTTCTTTGTACATACAGGAAAGCTGGGATAACACTAATCTTAAGCCGCACACTTTCAATATAAATCGTATTAAGGGTTCCTAATGAAAGGATAAAGGAGGAAACTCTCGGCGTTGGTCAATCGCTGAGAGATGCGTCATTCATTCGACTTCATTAAACATCGTTTGGTGGTGATTAAATGCATATCTGGCCATTACAACGACTCACAGTTGCCTATCGATATATCGAGCCAGTGCCGCTCTCCTCCCAGAGAAGTCTGCTACCACTTTGCCGACCCCGGAGGGAAGTAAGACTTGGTGAGCCACGGGCGCGGGGATCGATCCCATGTGTGTGTCACAGGGCGCCTCCGCCCAATGCGCCACCCGCGCTCTCTAAATGCTGGGATTAAGCTCCAGCGTTTCCAATATTGTTTATTTTTGTTTAAACAGCACGCTGGTGATGTAAGTGATTTTTTCACAGATGCAGTAACCCATGCGATTCGCATACGATCCATTTGATTCGACGGTTTTTCTTCACACTTGTAATTTTTCCATAATTGGCTTTACTAGAACCTTGTTCAATTAGCGTTAGTTATTTTGAGACCGATCAGACGATATTTTAAAGAGAAAATTGTTATTTTACTCTGTGTGATAGGTAGTACCCTATCAATATCACCTTTACCTAACTTTTAATGCACTTAAGCAGACAGCAGATACTAATTACAAGCCCAGAAATTATGCAAAGGCACGTAAAAAATGGATGAAGATCGAGAGAAATTCAGCCTATCCTATTCTAAGATCTGTTTCTTTCAAGTCTGTTTTGATCTATCGTTATTAACAGAAATTCTAAAGACCCGGGCGATTCCCTACTATCTCCAGAATAGCCACATTTCCCAAAAGAATACTAGTCACGCCGCAACGAACTACCCTTTAATCCAGAAATATCGGCGACTGCCTGAGGTGAGAACCTAGGAACGAGCAATGTCGGAAGCCAACGAATACCATGGACCATGAGCGCAAGCAGAACAACAGCATTAATGGAAGTGCTAGGAAAGATGTACATGACAAATGAGAGACAGCCATCTTGGTCCTTATCCCTATGAAACATTTAAATCAAGTTCTTACATATACGAAATCTAACTTGGAGTATGGAGATCTTCAGGCACTTTTTTTCCAGCATAATTTTTAATAGATGATAGCTGATACCACTGTCAGGGTTAAAAGCAGGGTGAGAGATAGGCAACGAGAGGGTTCGGTGGTGCAATGAGAAACACGTGAGCCCCTAGAAAGGACAATTTCGGGTTCGAATCCAGCCTTGGGTCCGAGTTTTGCAAACATCTTAGCACCATTGTGATTATAGTTCACATAATACCCAGCCCTCC